CGTTCCCCCTCCCCACCAGCCAATGGTTAAACATTTATGAGTACACCTTATGGGACTCACACTAAAAGCAGCCTGATGAAACCTGGTTACAAAGCAACAGTAAGAAGCCAGGCACAACGTGCTTGCCATAGAAGAGTGTAGCACACTTCGAGAAGGTCCCATAAAAAGGGTGCTGGAATCTTGGCCATGGGTAGTCCAACCTCTGACTCCCAGGGTGCTCTTGATAGTGACCATGACCACCACCAAGAGCTCTATACATCCTGAAAGCCACAACGCTCTCTCTGCCCGAGCAGGGCAGAACAAGGCCATGTCATGGGAGATGCACCTGCTGCATGTCACTGGCGAGCTTGCTGACCCTCCCAGAGGCATGTGGTAGATTCTGCTCCATTGCCATTACCACTAATTACTGCACTTGCAACTAGTAAGTCTGCACAAGGATTCAGACCCAGCTCCATCACTCCACCATAGATCCATGGTGCCTCTAGACAGAGCAAAGGCCAGCACAGTGAGCCAGGACAGTGAGACCATCATGTTTCTTGATCTGTTTCCACTCCACTTCTATTAGTGCAGCCTAGGAATGTTCCTAATGGTATACTTTAGAGCTCCATAGATGGAATTTAATTTTCTTTATCTAGGATCGCATGTACTTCTTTTGGCCAATATCCTGATCTAACTTAGATCTGAGACTGTATTATGATAACCAGCCTACTAATGGTTCCAATATTTTATCATGCACACTCCATGAAGCTTGGTCTCAGCACCTTCAACTTAGCTCTGAGCAGCTGTGGAAGGGGCAGGACTGAGGTAGAGACATCCCTTGAATAGCCGCTGCTTCTGGAGTATGCATTGATAGCACTGTTCGGCCCCGCAGGAATCTACCTGATGCTGCTTTTTGTTTCTACATGTTCTCTAGCTGGAATCACAGGAGACACCTGGCCAACAGTTTGCAGCAATCTAAGACCGCTCCGCCCCTCACTTCCCTCTGCTCTCAAGGTGTGTGATAGCCACAGCCAAGGAAAAAGGCATTGGGTTGAAGGTAAAAAGCACAAGGTTGGAAGTTTGAGGAAATAAAGGGGGTCAGTGAGGCAGCCCCAAAGCTCACGGTCACTGTTTACCAGCGCAGGCCTGGGGCCTCTTCTTCTGACCCCACCGCCCCGAGTTTCCATTTTATCATCCCCACTTTCTGGAAAGCTTAATGCAGCAAGACATGAAAGGGCTTTGTGAACAGTAGCCTAAGTAGCGATAAGGAATTCTTCTAATTACATCCCATTGAAAATAGCTGTTAGCTAAAATAATACAGTAATTTAAATGCTAAGAAATGTTGAGAACTTTCTCTCACTGGTAGCCACAGCTCATCTTCAGCTTCTAAATCCAGCCCACTGAATAAAGATTTGTGGTCTTCAGGGTCACAAACCTTTGTCTGTTTGCAGCAATCTCCTTTTCCTTCTCACCTCCTGCCTCCCCGGCCCGGCACACAGGCAGCTTGGCTCACCTCCAGCCCAGCCCCATAGGCAGGTGCCCATCATTACCTTTCCTTCCTCTTGCGAGCCCACAGCATCTTTTCTAATCCTCTGCTTATGAGATCTCCTCGCAGTTTGCTGTCTAAGGCTCGCCACCAGCTCTGGTGTTTCCTGCAGGCAAGAAGGGAGTCTTACAGTTTCACAAGAATAGAATCTTTAAGTGAGGAGTAATCCTACCCAGCTCTCAACGCCACCTTTGGTTACCACTAGGAACCCCCTCCCCAGAGAGTTCGCCATTTATTCTTTCCCTCATTCACTGCACATCCATCAAACGCCTTCTCAAGCCTGATCAAGATGCCACCTCTGCCCTCAAGGGGTCAAGTTTAGGGGATCACAGACAGAAGAAGGCTGACTGGGGTTGGGGGAGACATTTGAGCAAAGGGAGCCTCTTGGAGGACTCACGAAGGAATGGGCTCTGTGGCTGACTGACACACTGGCCGCCTCCCCCACGGGGATGAACGCTGTGCAGGTAGGACTTAGACTCTTACCCTCCATGTAGCCCTAGTACCTAAGGCAGAGGACAGAGTGGGAGCTCCACAGTGCTTCATGCATGTACAAATACAGAAGTTGAGAAAGCACAGGGGAAGCCTGGAAGGCGGGCTAGGCAGGGAGCCAGAAAGCCACGAAGCTGTGTGGTCCTAGACTGAAAAAGGGCATTGGAGAGTGTTGCCCGGGAGAGTGGGAGGCGTCATCAGTAAAGGATGTGCTAGACTCATTCCTCTGCCTTGGCAGCTCACACCTGCCCAGCTGGTGGTGGAGATGAGGTCTCCCCCACACTGGGCCAGGCAGGCTATCTCCCAGGAGTCTAACTCCTGAGCAGAGAAGGGCGGTCCTCTGAAGGCAGCACCCAGAGAGGATGCCCCAAGTGCTTCCCTGGCTCTGCCCTTCCTGGGGCCTGAACGCAGGCTCTTTCCTGGATTCTGACATGGCCCTCAATACACCCCATTCTTGCTTGAATTAATTACTCAGTTCCCATTGCTTGAAACCCAAGACTCGTAACTGATGTAATGGCCAGATGCCAGATGCTAGGGACACAAGAATAGTATATGCTGTGCCCTCAGAGATTGAGTTAGTGGCCTGGGACTCCAGAGTCATCCAGGCTGCCTGGCCATGAGGCTGGGCAAAGAAAGGCAATGCTCATGCCCACGGTGACAGTGACCTCCATCCTCTTGCCTTGTCCCAGCTTGGCCTGTCTATCTCTCCCCACTGGTTTCCTACACTAAGCTGGCTGAAGGGGCAGCCCCCAAAACAAGGTCCTCAGGGGTAGGCAGGCAGAAGTGGCCACCCGGCATCACACCTGTTCCAGCTCCAGATTCACCTTGAGTACTTGCCACCTGCATGTCCTCGCAGGCAGGCAGGCAGGCAGTGCACTGGGAAAACCAGGCAGCGAAACCTGATTTTACTTTAAATATTATTAATAATATTAATATTATTGGCTCCTAATATTCCACGGAGGGGCATGGCACAGAATATGTAACTGTCATCCTGTCACTGGACATTCAGTTTGGCAGATGTGGCCTCCCCCTTGCTCCCTCTAGTTCCTCTGAATACACACCCAGCCCTCTGACCATGCCCACACCCAGCCCTCCGACCACGCCCACACCCAGCCCTCCGACCACGCCCACACCCAGCCCTCCGACCACGCCCACACCCAGCCCTCCGACCTCAGACCACAACCAGCCTTCTCACCACGCCCATACCCAGCCCTCTGGCCACACCCACACCCAGCCTATGACCAGGCCCATACCCATCCCTCAGACCAGCGCACAGCCAGCCCTCTGACTGTGGTCCACATCGCACTTCCTGTCTGTGGTGGGCCCCAAGGCCACTGGGAAGGCTCCTCACCCCTGTGGCCTCCTGCCCACACCCGCTGCTGCTGCTCCCTCTTCCTCACCTTTCCTCACACCCCAGCTTTACTCTATTCACCCTCAGCAGTACTTCCTGGCTTTTTGAGTCAGATACTGTCTGATAAGGAAAACATTCCCCTTTTCTCAGGACAAATTCTATCCACACAGTCATGACAGTTCCACAGGCTCTCAGGTTCCCAGATGCCCTCCCGGCCTCCTCTGCGGCCTGGCGCTCAACATCTTCATCCTGGCCACAGCTTTCCTCGAAGCCTTGTTTCCCACCTACTACATTCTCCAGGGGCACTGCTGGCTGACCCCCAAACCCGCCTTACTCCACACCCCTTCCTGCCTTTCCCCATAAAGAGCCTTTACTGATCAAAGAGTTACCCACAATTAAGGAAGAAATGGGCCCAAACTGAGTGTCCAGTGACAGGATGACAGGTCCATGCTCTATGCTACACCCCTCAGCATGAGAGCCAGTAAAAATAATATCCACATGTGCCACATGTCAACAACGTCGAACTAATAAATTTGAAATTAATAACACTAGTAGGAAATATAATCTAAGTAATGGGGTAGGAATTATATGAGGACATTTGCATGAAAGTTAACAGGTAAGGAGCAAAATTGCTTCTGCTACAAGATTCTGAAACGCAGAATGCGGCAAGACTGTATCCACTGTGTGCCCTCTCCACACTCGACACACAAATACACATATTTACATGCATGACACATTCACACACCAACACACAAACACATGCTCCCACACTTGCAGCCACACACTCATAAAACACCGAAGAGGAATACCTCCTGGAGGAAGAAATGTTAACGGGATGCTAGCAGTTATTTTTCCAGGGGGTATAACCACGGATATTTCTTTCTCTTATTCCTTTTTTTTTTTTTTTTGTCCCTGAGACAAAGTCTTGCTCTGTTGCCCAGACTGGGGTGCAGTGGCACAATCTCGGCTCACTGCAACCTCTGCCTCCCAGGTTCAAGCAATTCTCCTGCCTCAGCCTCCAGAACAGGTGGGATTACAGACATGCGCCACCACGCCCAGCTGATTTTTGTATTTTTAGTAGAGATGGGTCTTGAACTCTTGGCCAGGCTGGTCTTGAACTCTTGACCTTAGGTTATCCTCTCATCTCGGCCTCCCAAAGTGCTGGGATTACAGGTTTGAGCCACCATGCCCGGCCTCTTCTTCCTCTTTTTATGCATTTTTTACATTTTCTTTAATGGGCATGAATGACATACTTATGGCTCTGGGTAAACTTATTTTCTTAAGATTCTATTCTAAAAATAAATTGGTGACAAAATTAGAAAGCATGAACAAAATACATGGGCCTACCATGACCTCGAGGACTCATGGGGACCCTCTGGACAGGGACGTGCCCCAGGAGGCAGCCCCTCCACGGAACTCACCTCCACCTGCCCACATCAGCCTGCTCTGCTCCACCATTGCTCTCAGCCATGTGGTCCGGATGTCTCTCACTGCCTGAATCCAGCAGGGCCAGCAGCTGAGGCTGTGAGGCTGTGGGCAGCACCACGCTCAGGAGCCGGCGAAGCGTGGCCCCGGGCACCACGGCCATCCTCGCCAGGTACGACGCCAGTCTCAGCTCCTAAGGGAAACAGCGGAGGGAGCTCAGACCCTCGCCACCCCTTACATTGAACCACCCTTTTTCATGATCACAGTCTGAGGACATTCTGTCCTGGAGTGATAAATATTTCAGTAGCTGAGTCTGGAACACATGTTCCTGAACTTTCGGAGCTATCAAAAAAATCTATTTGGTCAGCAACCTTGGCTCCCGGGTTGCTTCCAAAGCCTCCATCCATCCTGTCCAGCTGCTCTCAAGTCACTGGGGCAGTTCCCAGATCCCTACAGCAAAAGCCCCAGGGTGCAGCAGGGAGATTCATCATGAATGTGCTCTCTCCTCCTCCTCACATTCCATGAAGCCATTAGGCACCAGGCAATCAGTGCAGGCTCTGGAAACAACAGAAGTGTCTCGGAACCAGTGGACGATTAAAGACACTGTGCTACATCCATGCCGCAAGATACTACTCTGCAGTCAAAAGAAAGAACTGGAAGCATCCCAGGGGCATTAAGCCGAGGGGAAAGAGCCAGTCTCCAAAGGTCACATGCTGCATGATTCCACGCATGTAGCCACACCGGCGTGATGACACTTGGAGCTGGAGAGTAGAAGTGGTTGCCGGGGTGGGGCTGGGGAGGGGGCGTGACCATCAAGGGGCAGCACAGGTGGTCTTTGCGGTGGTTGGCAGCTCTGTGTCTTGATGGTGGTGGTGCTGGTTACATGAATGTACATGAGCTCAAATGACAGAGAACTATACATACATTTCATATCAACGTCAACTTCCTGGTTCTGATGCTGTCTGACAGGAAGCACTGAGGGAAACTGAGGGAAAATGGGGGGCAGGGTCCTGAAACTTTATACTAGCTCTGTAACTTCTTTTTTTTTTCTTTAGAAAGGAAAGAAGAAAAGAAAGAGAAAAATAGGAGTGAAGGAGAGAAAGAAAGAGGAAGAAAAAGAGGAAGAGAGAACAGGAATATTGCTTTATTCTAAAAATGGGTATTAATAATGGCCGATCAATATTTTGTGTATTTAAAGTGGAGAATGTATATTTTGTGTATTTAAAATGGAGAGCTCTATAAATATTTATTAAGTTTACTTGTTCCGGATCTGAGTTCAAGTCCTGGTTTCCTCATCAATTTTCTGTCTGGTTGAGTCTAAATCTCTTTATGGGTCTTATGCATCTGGGTGTTAGGATCGTTAGCTCTTATTGTTGCACTGATCCTTTTACCACTATATCTTTGTTGCTTTGAAATCTATTTTATCAGATGCGAGAATTGCAACTCCTGCTTTTTACTTATTTATTTATTTTTGCTCTCCATTTGGTTGGTAAGTCTTTCTCTATCCCTTTCTTTGAGTCTTTGTGTATCTTTGGATGTGAAATGGATCTGGATGTAGCATACCGTTAGGTTTTAGCTGTATCTTTTGATTGAGGGATTTAGTCGACTTAAATTTAGGGTTACTGCCATTTGATGTTAACTGGCTGTTTTATCCATTCGTTTATATAAATTAGCTCTGTAACTTCTTGTTAATCTTCTTGTGAATCTAAAATAATTTCAAAGTTAAAGGTTTTGGCCAGGCATAGTGGCTCACACCTGTAATCCAGCACTTTGGGAGGCTGAGGCAGGAGGATCATTTGAGCCTGGGAGGTCAAGGCTGCAGTGAATCATGATTGCGTCACGGCACTCCAGCCTGGGTGACAGAGTGGGACCTTGTCTCAAAAGTAGGGGTCACAGTAATACCTACAGCAAAGACATTTGTGCAGACAAAATGAACCGGGGCCTGTAAAACTGTTCTGTGCTGCGAAGACGCAAAAACCAACCACTTCTCCCAGTAACAGGGCAGGGTGTCTGGCCACTTGCCAATCAGAAACTTTCCCTGGGGTTTTACCGGGCAAATCTGAGAGAGAGAGGCATCTTACACAGCAACGTCAGGACACCTGGGTGTTGAAAGACCATAAGCTGAGGGTTGCCAGCTACACGTGTCCCTCTGTGTGGAGAAAGCTGATCAGTGAGCACAAAGAAACAGACCAGAGAGATGGAGAAGCAGAAAGACTCAGAGGGTCCCTTGGCCACTTGAGCCCCGAAACCTCAGCCCTGCTCTTCTGGGGGACAGAAGGGGATCAAGCCATCTCCTTTTATGCTCAAAGCAGTTTGAGTTGAATTTCCGTTGCCTTCACCTAGAAGGAATCTTGATTTTACAAAGCAGCTGAATGCAGTGATTGGCCAAGGGCAGGAACTCAGCCAATGCCGGTTGCTGCTGCGGTGGCATCTGTGAGTTTCCTATGCAGCTGTGACAAATTACCATAAACTTGTGGCATAAAATGACAGACATGTATCTATGTACAGTTCCGGAGAACCAGAGTCTGAAATCAGCCTCACTGGGCTAAAGTCAAGGTGCGGGCAGGGCTGGTTCCTCCTGGAAGCTCCAGGGGAGGATCTGTCTCTTTGCCTCCTCCAGCTGCTGCAGGCCGCCTGTGTTCCTGGGCTAGTGCCCGCCCCCATCCTCATCACCTCCCTCTGATCTCCGTCTCCATCATCATCATCACACAGCCTTCTCCCCTGTCCCTGACCCTCCTGCCTCCCTCTTCTAAGAACACAGGGATGATTCAGGGGAGTCCCCCTGCCCCATCTAAAGATCCTTAACTTAATCACACATCAAATCAAAGTCCCTTTTGCTATGTAAGACCGCACTCGCAGGTCCCAGGGATCGGGACATAGTCATTGTTGGATGTCTTTATGCAGCGTGCCACAGCACATCGCTGGTGCATTCACTCACTTATGCACTCGTAACATGAAGGTGGAGACCTGCTAGGTGCCAGATGCTCTTCTAGGCACTGGAGTGAGGGCAGCGAGTGAAACAAAGTCCCTGCCCTCACCAGGGTTACAGTCAAGTCAAAGAGACAGATGTAGGCATTAAAAAAACAGATGGACAAGGATGAAACATGAGGCAGGACAAAGGGACAGAGGGTGATGTGTAGGGGCAGCCCGTGTTTTAGATGCTGGTCAGGGAAGGCTTCTCTGAGGAGGCGACATCTGAGCAGCCACCTGCAAGCAGGGAATAAGGAAGCCATGGGCAAACACAGGCAGAAGGGAAACCGGAGCAGAGACCCCGAGAGGAGAAGCTGGCAGGGAGCAAGGGGCAAGGACAGGGATGGAGAAAGGCCAGAAGGACAGGAGGTCAGCTCGCACAGGGCCTTTTCACCAGGTAAGGATTTTGCCTTGTATTTGCACTGGTAAAACCTTAAGCAGAGGAGTGGCACGAGCCGATTTTCACTTTTAAAAGGTTGTGTTGGGTGGTGTGTGAAAAGGAACCATCTGCAACAAGAGACGTGGAGGAAGAAGAGTATCCCAGGCGAGGGATGAAGGCAGCTTGGACAGAGCAGGGCAGGGAGGTGGCCAGGGGTGAGCAGACTTTGGAGACATAGCAATGGCAGAGCCAATAACTTTTGTGGAAAGGAGGAGAGAAATAAAGGACGGCACCAATCTTTCACTGGGCAAAGGGAGCTGCCATTTACTGAGATGGGGGAGCAAGTGTGGGAGCGGGAATGGCATTCCCTGTAGCTCCATTTGGACAGAGGCACTAATGGAGGCGTGCAGCCGGCAGTTGAGGGTCAAGTCTCAAGTTCAGGAGATGGAATTAGGAGTGAGCAATATGTAGATGACATTAACAAGGGAGTGCCCATAGCTGGAGAGGAAAAGAGGCCCAAGGACAGAGCTATTGGGTGCTCAGCACCCAAAGGCCGTGAGAAGGAGCAGTGTCCAGCGAGGAGCCTGAGCAGGGGTGGCCAGGGGTGGCAGGCAACGAGTCCAGGTGCCAGAAGCCAAGGAGAGGACGTGTTCAGAAGGGTGGGCTGCGGGGGTCGGGAACCACAGAGAGGTCAGGAGAAACAAAGACAGGGACTCAACCGCTTGGAAACACGAGGTCGCTATGACCTTGGAAAGTGCTTTCACTGAAGGCACAGGGAAAGGTGCTGTTCCAAATACCAGAGCTCCTTCCATGTCCTGACGCTCCCCGTCCATGGCCTCCCTCTGCTGTCATGCTGAACTGCTCGTCCTTCCCTGGCTGTTGCTCTCCAGGGCCACTGAGTCCTTACCCATGAGCTTCCTTCTGCCTAGAGCATATTTCTCCCAAGCTACTCTCTGTCTCTCTCCAGCGCATTCTTTTGGACTCTGCGCTACTATTCCCCGACCCCACCTTCTGGGCCAGGTGTCCCTCCTCTGATCTCACATTGGTTTGAACCAGCTCTGCTGTAACTGTCCCATTTCCAGTGTGCCTCTGGAACTAGGCTCTTAGGATGAACTCAGTGACACACGGTTCCCTGTCTCCAGCACTTAACCCAGTTCCGGAAACAGAGAGCATAACCAACAGATGTTTGATGGATACAAGATGGATGAACAGTGACTTCATAGACACCCTGCAGATTCACCTCTTCCTGAGGCAGGGTCTAAGCCTTTACAGCTGGGATCCCACCAGTCAATGTGGGGATAGACCAGCCCATTGACACAGCCCTTCCAGCTGCAGTGGTCCCTGATCAGTAATCCTCCAGACAAATCAGTTCACCGGGTCAAATCTTCCTGAAAGAGGTGACATAAAAAGCATCCACATGGGTCATGAGCTTTGAATCTGATGCCACATCTACAGACAGAAATGGATCACAAAGGGTAAAAAGGGAACACTTTTACACTGCCGGTGGGAATGTCAACTAGTTCAACCACTATGGAAAACAGTATGGACATTCTTTAAAGAACTGGAAGTACAGCTACCATTTGATCCAGCAACCCCATTACTGGGTATCTACCCAGAGGAAAAGAAGTCATTGTATGGAAAAGACACTTGCACAAGCACCATTCACAACTGTAAAAATATGGAAGCAGCCTGAGTGCCCACCACCCGAGTGGATAAAGAAAATGTGCTGTATAAACACCACGGACGACTACGGAGCCACAGCACGGAATGAAATAATGGCCTCTGCCGCAACCCAGATGGAGCTGGAGGTCACTATTCTAAGTGAGGTAACTCCGGAATGGAAAACCATGTATTGTATGTTCTTATTCACGAGAGGAGCTAAGCTATGAGGATGTAAAGGCATAAGAATGATATAATGGACTTTTGGTTCTCAGGGGGAAGAAGGGGGTCAGTGACGGATAAAAGACTACACATTGATACAGTGTACACTGCTCGGGTAGTGGGTGCACCAAAATCTCAGAAATCACCAATAAAGAACTTAGCCATGTAACCAAAAACCACCTGTTCCCCAGTTGAAATAAATTAAAAAAAAAATGTAAAGAAATGGACCATCAAGCAACACAGGGACACACTCTCTAGGCAGAGGAGGGTGACAGCGAGGTCCGGAGTGGCCAGTGGACAGCCTCTCTCCCCGCTTCCTCCCTGCTCCTCTCCACAGGATGAAGGAGCAGCAGGAGGAGGAAGGACACAAGGGGGATGGAGGACTGAGCTTCCTGATGACTCTTTTCTCTGGTGCAAAAAAGAAAATGGCAAAATACGGGGCTTCCTCCAGACTGCGTGTGGTAGTTCATTTGATATGGCAATTTGGCTGGGCCACTGCGCCCAGATGTTCAGTTAAACATTCCTCTTGTTTCTGTGGGGGCATTTTGGGATGAGATTAATATTTAAACTGGTGGACTCTGAGGAAAGTAGATTGCCTGCCATAATGTGGCTGGCCTCAGTCGATTAGTTGAAGGCCTGAAGAGAACAAAAAGGCCGGCCAGCCCTGAGCAGGAGATCATTCTTCCAGAGACAGCCTTTGGATTCGAAGTGCATCTCCTTCCTGAGTCTCCAGCCTGCAGGCCAACCCTGCAGAATCTGGACTCACCAGCCTCCACAACCATGTGAGCCAATTCCTTAAATAAACCTCTTTCTCTGCAGAGACACATGCTATCAGTTCTGTTTCTCTGGAGAACTCATTAATACACAGGCGTTGGGAAGAAAGAAATTCAGCTGACTATGTATTACTGGGCAGACTATATAAAGCACCAAGCTGGGGACCGAGAAAAACAACAACCCTACCTGGTCCCTGCTTCCCAGAGCTTCCGGTGCGGCCGCATTTACTCCTCATGGAGCCAATTCTTCAGCAGAGCGCTATGGTTTGAGCATTTGTGTCTCTTCCAAAATTCATGTGGAAACTTAATCCAGTGCCACTGTATTAGGAAGGGGGGCCTTTGGGAGGTGATGAGCCCATGAGGGCTCTGCCCTCAAAAATAGGATTAATGTCTTATAGAAGGGCTCCAGAGAACCAGCTAGGCCCCCTTTGCCTTCCCATCCCCTCTGCCACACAAGCACATGGTCTTCCTGCCCTCCAGAGGACACAGCAACAAGGCACCATCTTGGAAGTGGAGCTGTCCTCATCAGACACTGCATCTGCAGGTGCCTTAATTTTGGACTTTCCAGCCTCCAAAGTTGTGAGAAGATTGATAAAGAATTGCTAATTCTTTTTTTTTTTTTTTGAGGCGGAGTTTCGCCCTTGTTCCCCGGGCTGGTGTGCAATCGTGCGATCTCGGCTCACTGCAACCTCTGCCTCCTGGGTTCAAGTGATTTTCCTACCTCAGCCTCCAGAGTAGCTGGGATTACAGGTGTGTGCCACCACACCCAGCTAATTTTTTGTATTTTTGGCAGAGACGGGGTTTCTCCATGTTGGTCAGGCTGGTCTCGAACTCCCAACCTCAGGCGATCTGCCCGCCTTGGCCTCCCAAAGTGCTGGGATTACAGGCATAAGCCACCGTGCCCAGCCAAGCATTTCTATTCTTGATAAATCATCCAATCTAGGAATTTTGAATAATAGCAGAAGCGGACTGAGATGCATGCAGAGTTCACAATTGGAAAGGGCCCACAGTCTAGAAATGAACCTGGGTGAAATTCCACTGGTGATACTAGCTTTCTGTGAAGTCTCAAAGTAACAAAGAAGAAGGTGGGGGAATCAGAGTTGAGAGTGGGAAGTGGCTCAGTTATGCAAAGACACAGGCCAGTGGGTGCTCATCTGCTTCAGACCCTTCAGAGCCAGTCAGGAAGAGCACAGTCTGTGTAGCACCAGGTTGGGCTGAATCCTGAGCCCCCCACCAGCAGTGGCGAGTCCTCATGCCCTCACCACCTCTCTGTGCCTCAGTCCCTTTATTCATAAAACAGGATAATACTGCCGGTTTCCCATCTTTCTGTAGGGTAAATGAATAACAGACCTAAGTGCCTAGGACAGCACTCAGTGCATGGCAGGTGTGCGGGAAGCACCAGCTCCTCCCTGCCCTGTTTGGACACTGTCACTCCAGTGCTAACGCTGGCACCTTGTTTTGTACAGTCGCAGAATAATGACCCCTCTCCAAAATGTCCACACTCCCATCCTGGGACCTACGAAAATGTCACCTTAAAGGGGAAGGGTACTTTGCAGATGGGAGTGAGGTGAAGGGCCTGGAGATGGGGTGGGAAAGCGGTTATCTCAGATTATCCAGGTGGTTCCAACGTAATCATCACGTGGATCCTTAAAAGCAGAGATTCTTCCTTCTGTGTTAGGTCAGAGAGAGACATGACCTAACACAGAGGCTAGAAGAAGGGCCAGAGAGATACGATTTTGCTGTGTTTGAAGATGAAGAAAGGAGACCATGAGCCAAGGAATGTAGGTGCCACCGGAGGCCAGGAATATCCCCTGGCTGGCAGCCAGCAAAGAAACAAGGACCTCAGTCCTACAACCACAATGGACCAAGCCCTGCCAATTATTTAAGTGAGCAGGAAACAGATTTTCCCCCTAAAGCATCCGAAAGGCAGGCAAATCTGCCAACACCTTGATTTTAGCCTGGAGAAACCCATGTTGGATTTCTGACCTACAGAACTATAAGGTAAGTTTGTAGCTGTGATAAGCTGCTGTTTGTGGTCATTTGTGACAGTAAATGGATGAAAAACGAATCCATTCAGGAAGCTGGGTGTGTCTGTGGATGTAGCTGGCTGGACACCTAAAAGTGCCCCAACCCCCTCCCCCTGCTGACTCCCTTCTCAGAGGCTGGAGTAAGTGACTTGCACCTCCCCTGCACCTAGCAGGGCCTGCAGGCCAGCTTTCAGGTTGGGAGGGGAATCTGCTGCAGGGACCTGGGGGCACTGGTTTCCCTGATAAGAAAGAGCAGGCTTGGTGGCAGTTCTTCCACTTCTTTCGTTGCTCTGAAAGTTATGGCAGCTGGAACTATGAGAAGGAACTGTGGAAAGAATCACAGAACATGACCCTGACGTCACTGTGTCCTCAAGCGCCTCTCCAAGGTCATGTGGCTTGCATTCACCACTGTCTGAAATCATATTTCCTGCTACTTACAGACACCAGAAGCACAGGAAGCCCATTGCAGAATGCGTATAAAACCTGACCAGTAGCAGACAGTCAGGTACATGACCGCATAAGGCTCCACGCACGGCCTCGGGGCTGTGTATCAGGAAGGCAGGTGAGCGCTGCAATGCTGGCCAAGGATGAGAAAGGCTGCCTGACCTCAACTCAGAGAGCTGTCGTGTGGGGTGCAATAAAGGCTGCCTGACCTCAACTCAGAGAGCTGTCGTGTGGGGTGCAATAAAGGCTGCCTGATCTCAACTCAGAGAGCTGTCGTGTGGGGTGCAATACCGCTGATTTATGGCTCTGGCCCAGTTTTCTCTTACCCACTTTGTTCCTGGTGGAACCTAGTTTTTGTATATTAAACTTAGTTAAAGATAGAAAAGAAGGAGAATATCTGGGTGCCTGTCAAACCACAGAAAACATCGACGGGGAAACGTGATGACTGCTGTGGTTGCTGCCATTGGCACTGATTGAGGGTCCTCTGTGTGCCGGGCCGTGCCAGAGGCTTTGCACACAGGTGCTCTGCAGTTCCCAAGGCTCCTTCTCATCACCATCCTGCAAGCGAGGAAATGTGGACTCTGAGAAAAAGATGGAGTGATGTGCTGGCCAGGGGCGGCCTCAGACACGGCCAGCGTCCTCTCACCTGGCTGTACAGGGTTGCGAAGGTGTCCGCCTCCATGTTTTCCAACAGGTCTTCTAGGACGACACTGTTCTGTTGCTCTTCTCTCAAACTAGGGTGAAGATAAAATATACGCGAGTTCAGTTTTGTATAAAGTGATACTATGAGATCATCTAATTATTTATTTATTTAGAGATGGAGTCTCACTCTGTTGCCCTGGCTGGAGTGCAGTGGCATGATCTTGGCTCACTGTAACCTCCGCCTCCCAGGTTCAAGTGATTCTTCTGCCTCAGCCTGCCAAGTAGCTGGACTGTAGGTACATGCCACCATGCCCGGCTAGTTTTTGTATTTTTAGTAGCGATGGGGTTTCACCATGTTGGTCAGGCTGGTCTTGAACTCCTGACCTAATGATCCACCTGCCTTGGCCTCCGAAAGTGCTGGTATTGCAGGCGTAAGCCACTGCAGCCAGCCTATTTATTTTAATAACAAAAGAATCACACATCTAAGCCACACAATTTTAAAACTATGTCCATAGAAAGAGATGGCCAGAAAGACTGCCTTCCTTTTCTTGCCTAGGCTACTTTTCACATAACATGTCAAGGAGGGTTCCTTGGGAAGGAGACTTCTTGAAGTGAAGAGTCTCATGGGAGGTACAATGAGACGTTTCTATGACTTTACAGGGTGATCTCTGTGATGCTGCTTGGAAAACTCTGCCTCAGTCTTCGTGGTGATGATGAAGAAAACCCACCATGTGCCCCTTGGGTTGAAGCAGACCCAGAACCAAAGGATGGCACCTTTTCACATGCGGCTTCCTGATGCCCACGTGAGGGGGTCTGCTTAACGCGCGCCTTAGCCGGTTCAAGTTGGCTTCATGGATCAGCCTCATTCTCTTGCTGGCTAATACACCCCAAAGCTTCTGCAGGTGGAACTCAAATCAAAAGTCTGATCACAACCCATCTCCTCCAGGAGCATATGAATATTATATGCCCTAAAATCCCAGGCTAAATCAAGCCAGTACCTTTGAGCATTTCCCTCCAGCCACACAGATTAAACCCCCTCACACAATATTTCAATGGGACAGAAATGCACTTCGATGTGTTTACACGGAAGAGCGTAATAAAACATATGCAAATCATCTGTAATCTCGCACCCGGAAATCACATCTATCGAAATTTGGTCCATTTCCTTCCAATTAATTTGGTGTGTGTGTTCAAAGATTAACCACACTGTGTACGGACTTTGCCTCCAGTCCTTTCCATGTTCATTTTTTATTCACAGTGAAAAAGTATGAAGCTGTTAAAAATTGTGTTTTTCCAAGAGTTCTTGATGCCACAGCCGAGGCTCAGTGTCTCATGTGAATTGAAAACAATGCAAAGAACGACGACGACAACAAGACTGGGGTCTGCTTTGTACTTTTACAAAAGCAGGATATAAAATACTATGTTTGTGGTGAAACTGGGATAAGGCCTAGTCTAGTTCATCGTCTTTGCCAGTGTCAATTCACATACCATGACTATGTAAGATGTTACCAAGAGGGGAAGGGTACATGGCATTCTCCCTACTATCTTTGCAACTTCCTGTGAGTCTATATTTAAAAATAGAAAGTTTAAAAATATTATGTTTAGTACAACTTCAACGATATTAAGTTGAAGGGAAGAAGGAGTAAGCTACAAAGCCAGCAGCTGGTGCTGGAGCGACGGGATGACACCTTTGGCGGGAAGGTAAGAGCCAGGGTGGGCAAGGTCAGGCTGAGTGGGAGATGCCTGAGTTGGCCCCTCCAGGCCTTCAGGGGACTAATATCTTTGAGTGCCACGGGGCACGCAGCCTACCTCTGCTGGTGCTGCTCCAGTAGCGTCTGGCTCCTGCTCAGGGCTTGCTGCAGGACAATAGAAACCTGCCTTTCAGAATCCGCCTCCCCAGGTTCGTTCAGAATCCCGGGCCCATCGGCCACCCACTGCTGCCAGCTCGCCAGGGCCTGCTGCTGCTGGGCTGCCTCCTGCTGTGCCAGCTGGTCCTCCAGCTTCCTCTCGAGCTCCTGGAGCTCCTGCACAAGGCAGGGAAAGATGGTGAGCCCCACTGCACAAAGTGGGTGGGCTACAGGACAACATCTGACCTCCTGGGCATGTCGCTGGAAGCCCAGCATGACTCTGTCTTGCCTGCTTCCCCATCCAGCTGTGCCACATGGTACAGTGTGAGTGCACCACAATCTCTCACACCTGTGTCACCTCCATGCCTCCACATATGCTCTTCCCTCCACCTGCAGTGCCTTTCTCTGTCTGCCTGACCAACCCCCAGTCTTCTTTCACGCCACAGCTTAAGAAGAACCTCCTTGACAAAGGGCTCCTCAGTGAAGGGATCTCTGAGTTCCTTGGGAGATGCAGGTGCCCTCTCCTCACATGCCCACCCACATGCCCACTATGCCTGGCATGAGCTCTGTTTCCTCCATTACCCGAAATCACTGTCCTGTGCCTTTCTGCTAGAGTGTGAGCTCTTTGAGGGCAGGGCTGTGTCTCCTTCTCCCTGCCTGCAAAGTGCCTGGGTGCCTGGTGGTTGGAACCTGTCGCTGTATACAGTGGAGTATCTGCATGTGCCCACCGTGGTGAAAGCCAGGCTGGAACACAGCAACCATGGCTCCACCACCAGCACCGTCAGCATGCCAGGCACTGCTCTGTGGACTTTTTATATGTGAATCTCACTGAACCCTTATAACAACCCTTCAGAATACATACTCTTAGTTCTCTTGCTTTGTAGGTAGGGAAACTGAGGCAGACAGAGTTAAATTAACTTGCCAGATAATGCAACTACTGAGTGACAGATCCAGAATCTGAAGCCAGGCTAGGTGGCTCTGAAATTGTTTTCTTAGCCAATGGGCTACACTGTCTCTCCTTGGCCAAACAGTAATCTGCATTCTTAGGCCACCAGGATTAGATAATCTCAGCATAAGACACTGTCCACAGCCTGCTTAGGTGAGTGACAGGGGCAGGAAGGAGGGCCCCAGGCCTTGGAGAATGCAGGCATATTTAACCCAGTATTTACCAGATGGGTCAGTACTGCACTTAGGACTGGAAGGTGGACAAAGTGTTAAATCGCAAGAGGCCCTGGCTGGAGTTCAACGGGGAGGATGATCCTTAACCCTCCCACATAGGTACAGAATGGTCTGCCTTTCTGCAGAGAGGCCAAAGCTTGCATCAAACACTCAAAGGATCTCAAAGCCCCCGAAACACTCTGAAACACTATTCAAGAACCACAAGAGAATAAAATCAGCCAGAGAAAGACTGCATGTCTCTGTAACATGGAGGCCGTAGCACGGAGAACCTTCTATCCCAGCCAAACACCTGGGTGCCAAGGCTTCGAGAGCTCTTGAGCAGGGCTCCCAGCATGCTGAGATGTGGAACTATGACCATCCCTCTCACTTCAGCATCCCACAAGGAAACACAGCCCAGTGGAGTTACAGCACTGTGTGCTGTCATGCTGTCAGCATTGCCAGGAGCTGAAGACAGAGACCCCACTTCTACCCAGATGCCAGCCCCAGCCCATCTCGAGGGGAAGGGAGGCTCACACCTGAGCGTGTGTCACCAGAGGAACAGTGGGACACACAGAGATTTTCAAGCACCAGGAGAGTCCTGGTTAGGAATAGAAAATAAGGTAGAAATGTGTCCCACAGTTTATAATCTGCTGATGGTGTCTCCAAACCCCTGTACCCTTACACCTGCCTGCCACCTGGTATAACTGGAATCCAAAAACCGGTTTCAGAATTGTCTTCTCTAATGCCCGATTTCCTCCAAGTTTTAAATGCTGAGGGCAGGGACTCAGGAGCATCGCTGACGTGTTCACCTTTCTCCCCAGCAGCAGAAAGAGTAACAATAATAACGACGATGATGATGATGATGATGATGATAGGGATTACAGCAGCTGACACTTACTGAATGCCAACATGGTGCCCGATTTTATTCAGCATATTTTACATAAATTAGTTTGTTTAATCTTCACAAAACAACACATAGGAATTTTTCATCATCTAATTTTATATATAAGGTAACTGAGGCAAAAGGGTGTAATTAAATCTCCTGAAATCACAGAGCTGGGCAAGAGGCAGAGTTAGGGGTGATTTCAGGTGTCTCTGACTCTGGGTCCCAACACTCAGCTCAAATGTCCCTAGTAATCACTCCACAGGTATCTGCTGAATGAATATTGATGATGGATGGATGGATGGAAGCGTGGATGGAGGGAGGGAAAAGGGGAGGAGGGGAAGACAGACATATACAGAAAGGGAGAGAGATAATAGATTGGGAGATTCATGGGTGAAGAAGACATGGCCCCTACACTCTGAAAACTCACTGTCTAGTGAGGGAGACACTCATGTACAGTTGCAGTGATGGAAATGCCACCATCTCCTTCGGGATGGAGGGTTACAGGAGCTGGAAGAGACCAGCTCTGCCAGAGGGAATCATGGATGGCTTCAGAGAGGAAGTAACATTTGGGTTTGTCTTAGAATATGGAGTTTGCAAGTCAGTACAGCAGAAGCATTCTAGGCAGAGGTCCTTCAAAGGGACACATGCCATGCCTGAATGTGTCTCCAATACTCAGAGGCAGCAAGAAGGTCCAGGGACTAAAACGCAGGATCTGAGAAAGGGAGCGATGAAAGGTGGGATTTTTACATTTAGAGCTGGGGTTGGGGCTGTAAGTCATCATTTTCATTTTTCAGGAACATCCCCTTAACCATCGTGCAGAGGTTTAACTAAAGTAGGGAGAAAGGGAAGTAAGCAGAAATTGAGGTTAGGAAAGGAGCAGAGGCTTTGGAGACAGAAGGTTTAAAGTCTGTTTTTCAGCTGTGGGATCTTGGCGAAATGACTTAACCTTCCTAAGCCTCAGCTCCTTCATCTCTCAAATGGGTATGAAAACGTCATGGGATGGACATAGGTTTAAACACTTAACGCACTGCTTTGGACATAATGAGAGCTCCACTGATGCTGGCTAATATCAAGGTTATTTCTGTTGTTCAGATCTAATCCATCAGACAAGCTGGGCAGCCAAAGTGGAAATGAGAAAATCCAGGCAGAATCAACAGAAGGTGGCCAGTGGCATATGGGGAGAAGGGCAGAGAGAAGATCAGAAGATGCTGAGGCTGGGCGCAGTGGCTCACACCTGTAATCCCAGCACTTTGGGAGGTTGACGTGGGAGGATCACTTGAGGTCCGGAGTTTGAGACCAGCCTGGCCAACATGGTGAAACTCCATCTCTGCTAAAAATACAAAATTAGCTGAGCATGGTGGTGCATGCCTATAGTCCCAGCTACTCGGGAGGCTGAGACAAGACAATCAATTGGAACCAAGGAGGTGGAGGTTGCAGGGAGCTGAGATCACACACACTGCAGCCTGGGTGACAGTGACTCTGTCTCAAAACAAAAAAACAATAAAAGAAGAAGAAGAAGGAGGAGGAGGAGGAGGAGGAGGAGGAAAGAAGGAAGAAGAAGGAGGAAGAAGGAAGAAGAAAGAAGAAAGCAGAAGAATAAAGAAGAAAGAAGAAGAAAAGAAGAAGGAATAAGAAGAAGAAAAGAAGAAGGAATAAGAAGAAGAAGAAGAAAGAAAGAAGAAAGAAGAAGAAGAAAGAAGAAGGAAGAACAAGAAGAAGAAGGAAGGAAGAAGAAGAACAAGAGGAAGAGGAAGAAGAAGAAAAGAAGAATAAGAAGAAGAGGAAGAAGAAGGAGGAGAAGGAGAAGGAGGAGGAGGAGGAAGAAAGAAGGAAGAAGGAAGAAGAAAGGAAGAAGGAAGAAGAAGAAGAAGAAGAAGAAGCAGAAGAATAAAGAAAGAAGAAGAAAAGAAGGAATAGAAAGAAAGAAGAAGAATGACTAAGAAGATGAAGAAAGAAAGAAGAAAGAAGAAGAAAAGAAGAATGAATAGAAGAAAGAAAAAAAGAGAAGGATAGAAGAAGAAGAAAAGAAGGAATAAGAAGAAGAAAGAAGAAGAAAGAAAAGAAGGAAGAAGAAAGAAGGAAGAAGAAGAAGAAGAGGAAGAGGAAGAAGAAGAAGAAGAAAAGAGAAGAAGAAGAAGAAGAAGAAGAAGAAGAAGAAGAAGAAGAAGCCGCCGCCACCGCCACCGCCGCCTCCAAGTCAGGCTTGGGAAAGTAAATACACAGCAATTTAAACTGAAATGCAAATACAGTGGTTACCATTTGTTTGGGGTCATGCTAACAGTTAGGAGTAAGTTTATCCCATTTAAATTTGCCTGTCATTGTCACTTGGCCCTGTGATTCAACTGAGCCCTGCATATGTTCCAATTGCGCCAAATAGTCTAAATATTTCATCAGATAAGGTACCCTTGATGTGGTTTTCTTAGGAGTAATTTCTTCCACAGCATTCCATTTCATGCTTTTTTAAATTCTCCTGAATGTTGAACACTCTAAAAGCTCACACAGAATGAGCAAATTGTAGAACGCAAGTCTCATATCTGGAACAAAACAACAGGCTTGTCTTCACTCCAAATGCAAACTCAAGTAAGAGTGTATCATATGCATTGCCTTACCCCCCATTTAATAATGCGGGTCATCTGATTTACCAGCTGCTCCCAACTCAGGACACGCTAACTCTCTGTTCTAAACAAACTGGAGGTAGGAATTCCTCAAAAGAGTTTTTTTTTTTTTTTTTTTTTTTTTGAGACAGAGTTTCGCTCTTGTTACCCAGGCAGGAGTGCAATGGCACGATCTCGGCTCACCGCAACCTCCACCTCCTGGGTTCAGGCAATTCTCCTGCCTCAGCCTCCTGAGTAGCTGGGATTACAGGCACGCACCACCGTGCCCACCTAATTTTTTGTATTTTTAGTAGAGATGGGGTTTCACCATGTTGACCAGGATGGTCTCGATCTCTTGACCTCATGATCCACCCGCCTCGGCCTCCCAAAGTGCTGGGATTACAGGCGTGAGCCACCGCACCTGGCCCTCAAAAGAGTTTTAAGATAAAATAAAAAATGTAAGTGTTGTACTCTCCAATTATTATACTAATAGAAATCAGAGTGGTCTCAAGTAAAAAGCACTACTCTGCGTTTTAGGG